GAACTGTAGGGGAAGGTACTGTAGGTTTTAAACACGTGGGTATTTTGGCAGAATTTTAAATGGGCACCCGTAGGTTGCTGCCATGCCAGGTTGGGGGGGGGGCTCTCTCTCCAGACACCGCGAAAATGCCCAAAGAGCGATGCCGCCCGTGACCGAGGTTCGAACCAGCGCGCGACTGCGTGCATGGCAACAGACGCCTTAGTCCGCTCGGCCACTCCACCCCCATACGTATAATTATAATATACATATTCGTCACTTCTAAGAGAACAAGAATTGGACATTCATAATACACTTAACCGYATACGCAATAATTGGCGCATAGATCCAACACCCACAGGTATACTTCCAGCACCAAATGATGACTATATTATAGCTGCAGAAAAATCGTCGGACAAACCAATTTTTCTAATTCACTTGTACCTATACTTAATTGAATCTATGATGGCAGAGTTTATAAGGTTTATGACCYCCCGAATATGCTGGAATTAAAAAACCAAATTTCAACATTATTATACCTACGATGTAACTACTACTTATTGGACAATTCGCTCTCAGAATGGCCCCGCGGTCTTTCATCATTATTCACTTGGGTTGTATCAAATGTACGAATAACTATCCGGTTATATTAAAATCTATCATTACCTATCATTAAATATTTTATTTCAAATTCGTAGTTTGAAACAAAAAATGCAATATGCATATAGCCATCATGTATAGTTACTCTTAATAGATATGTATTCTCTACACCCACGAATTTATTTAAAGATTCCCTGTACATAAATACACAAATACCTACCTACAATTATTGTAGGTGAGTATAGATATAATAGGTTAGGTTATAGTAGTATACGGGATTATCCGTTAAACGTAAGATAATGAATATTTCACTAAACATTTCTCTTTAAAAAATGCTAATTTTTGTAAATGTTTAATTTAAATTTAATATAAATAAGTTGTAAATTTATGTTTTGAATTTTTGATTGTATTTGTTAATTGATAGCACAATAAAAAAATAAGTTACAATAACAGTTAAAAAGTTTTGAACATACATCAGCAAAAATGCATGTACCTACGATGGATTCGGTTTTGCTTAAAATAGTTGAATTACCCATGAATAACAAATAAAAAAAAAATTAGACCATATMTCCTTTTAAAAGGGTTTTTTTCCATAACTTTAAGTTTCCAATCATCATAGTACGACGTCACTTCTTATCGGGACACATTATATTGTAATATTATCGTCCCTACACGTATTATTTTTAATTCTGCAGACGCCTAGGCCGAGGCATTTGACGACGACCTCGCGGGGTGGTGACGATTGGCGTTCTAAAACAACAGCCGCGGATAACAATAACCCTCTCCCCCCCCTGAGTCGCGGGGTTTTACGCTCTCGCGAAAATCCATTGGCCAACGATGGTGGTCGGCAGTTCACGCGCGCGCGCTTGCTGGTTTTCCGCGGTCCGCCTCGAGGAGACCGTCTGCGGTGCACGACAATAGCCGCGCGCTGAGAGGCCGTCTCTTTGTGCATTGTTGTCGCCGCCGCCCCCGCCGCAGCCAATACAATCGTACCGTCACGGCCCATTGTGCCCCGCTGCCGCCGCCTCCACTTCCTGTTCCTCATCCCTCCACGCCGTCCCGTCACCCTCGTAATCCCTGTTTCGTGTATTCCGCGAGTATCTCGGCTCGCGATACACAAAATACACGATGAAAATAATAATAATATCATAACCAGCGGTGAACTGGGYTGCCGTGAAAATTCCCAGTGGGACGCATTGTTCGCATTTGAACATACCTGAATATAATACAGAGTGATTGTTTTATCATTGAACTCTTGTTATTTAAAAAAAATAATAAATATTTTTGAAAAAAAATTATTACATCATCGTATCTAGTAGTTAAAAATTGCAACATTGCAAAAAAAAATATTTTTAACCTAACATGCCTTAGTGGTACACTGGTACCTACCTATATATTATATACATAATACAGATACGAAAAAATATGTTTATCTACAGAAATTATTTTAAAATTACTACAGCTAGCTAAGGAAATCGTTCCATGAGAAATTGCAGTTAATTCACGGGGTGAATCCAATACCCTAAAAAATTGAACTTTAGACGGACATTAAAAAATAATAATTTGACTTTTCGATCATTTTTTTTTTCTTCAGTGAGAAAACTGTTGCGTCAAAATTTTAAATCATGTAAAATGGATATACAAAAAAAATTGTTTACGAATGAACTCAAAATTATGGTTTACACATTTTTGTGCTTTTGATAAGTTTTATCAAMATTCTAACTTCAGACGCTCATAAAACTATTTTTAATTTACAATTAAACACTGAATGGTAGGTCTATATGTACATAATATACAAATACATTGAATAAAAAATTATGTATTCATATACCTATTATTTAATGACAATAACACTTTGACAYCGCTATTAAAATAATGATAATTGATAACAAAATTATAACATACATAACCTTGTTTTATTAATTGTTCAGTTGCGTCTTTAACTATCAAAAAAAAAATTATATGAACCAATATAAAAAAAAAGGTATAATATTTTAATGTGATAAAACTCAGCTTTGGCAAGGTCAATAATCAAAGGCATATATTTGCGCATTGCGCATGTTATGACATAAATAACACCAGCTAACACCACCTGCAATTAATACGCCAGTACCTATATATATGGTTTAATAAAAGATCGAATTAAAATGTTATGAGAGGTTACAATTGTAGTAATTATATTAACATAAAACATAGTCCATAATAATATGTTTATACTGTTCCTATTTATATTACGAGTATATTATGCATTTCGCGCGCGCGTGTGTAGGTTTGACAGTGTCTCGACGACGCAGTAAAAGGACACCTTTTTATATATAATATAGCTGTTACCTGTATAAGCTCTCTCTCTMTATATATATATATACAGCATAATATACGTATATTGATTGTCGATTCATTAACGCAATCAATGATCTGTCGAACAGAGTGGTACTCGAGACCGCGAACACAAATGATTTGCTATTCAGATATATAGTACGCATTTTCATGCATAAACACCGATTATAAAGGCAGATTTGAGATTACCTTTACATTCTATATTAAAACATAGCTATTATGGGTAGGTTCTTTATCAATATGTAGGCGTACACATATTACTATTATTTATTAAGTCACAAATTTAACGCAAATTGTTTAGYCCAATATTATTATATTATAATATAATACATATTATATGCCACAGTTGGCTGTTTATATMTATTACCTACATGTAGCCACATCTAAATATTAAATAATATACATACAGCACGTCTTTTCAACAATGGTAGATTTTATTATATTTTGGTAGTGCGGAATTAATAAATATAGTGATTTACTAGCATCTATTAGTGTAGAATTCAAATGATTTTGAAAACATTCATTAAGCGCTTTGGGTTAAAAATATAGCAACTAAATATCAAAAATATAAGTTTAAATTATTATATCCAATCAACTATATTATATAACATATAATCATTTGTGAGGAAAAAAAAAGTMATTTCTACAAATAATTTTGTTCCTTTACGTTACCATAAAATAATATTAAGCAAGCGATTACAATCATGTATACCTATTCAAAAATCCTATTGAAGAAAGCATTTTAGTTTTCACCAAATTTTCCGATTTTCAGAGCAACTTTTCCATTAATTTTTCCGTTAAAACTCATTCGGAATATTATACGAATATTTAAAAAAAATAACCAAATTAATCTAACCACTCTCGATTGATACATTTACTAATGAACAGTGCTCATTTATATTATATACATAATAATATATTATATTATTATTTAAATCTAATATTAATAATTTTAAATTCAAAATAAATAATATATACCTACCATATATTTTAAAACAGTACGAAAATCCACCAAAATTAAAATCGTGATCCACTTTTGGTTCAGAACAACATATAACTTGGAAACTTATTCTAGATATAACTCCATAATTTGGAGTCTAGAGCAAACTAGTAAAGTAGCCAGAAGGATAATAATCCTACAATTTGATCAGGAAGCAGACTTCTCAATGTTTTTGTGGATTGTGATATCGTGAAATAGTCATTGTAGAGCCATCTGTCGGACAGATATCGAGTCRACCTCACACATCTTTTCGTACGCACATGGCACATGTACGTGAGAAAAGTCTATAACAATACAATTTGAATTGAAATAAACTACTTACAAGTTACAACAAATTTTTCTGAACCTGAATTTACTATGYTGTATTTTTGTAAATCGACTTTATCGGAGACAACACGTCATGCTGATGACGTAGTGATGTCAACAATATTCCAACAGTGGTACAACTAACTATAGTATATATATATTTCGTTAAATGGAAGTTCGTTATATGGAAGTTTCACTGTACTAAGCAAACTGAACCCCAAGCTGTAACTGTTGAAATTTTCACACTTGTMCTTGGGTCGATAAATTATCAAATAATAGAATTCTAATATATTTTATGACCACGTAAATTTAATTATGAATATGCACTTTTTTATTTAAATTAAATAAAGAAAAAAGWATCCAAGTCCAACAGATAGTTCTGAGGTCAATGAATGTGATGGTTGAGAAGTTAAAGTTTGGATAAATAAATCTTTGTGAAGAGTTAAAACTGTCAAACTGATGACTGCRATTTCMAAAGGGGACTCTATACACTCATGTCATTGTCGTCTATCACATAGTTTATATAATATGCATAATGTAGGCATATTTTTACATTTCCCAATAATATGWAATCGATAATTTTCCATGTGAGTATGGGTATTGATGTCAAATTTATCGATATTTGAGTASATTCTACACTATTTCATATTGATGTGATCATAATTGACTTTATCCATACTCCTTACCGTCGATTTTCRTCATAGTCCATGCCAAAAAGTCGTTTTTATCTTTTATAAATATATTTCTAATATATTTCCAATTTAATAATTGAAAACCAAAATGAAATATGAATATTTTTATTTATATAATTAATATAAATTATAAATATTAGTTTTTTGTCATTTATAATTAGGGAGCTATCAAAATTTTGTGAATATACAAAGGAGTCGTGAGATGAAATCATTTGAATACCTCTGATATGGATCGTCTTGAAGAATGTTATTAAAATCATTATTTTAAAGTAAGTTATGGTCATTTTAAAATGTATAAACAACTTACAGTAGCAAAAAGATTATAACTTGCTTCTTAATAAAGAATATATCAATAAAAGCCTCCAAGRCACCCTAAAGGCCTAGGTAATAATCTTACCTTTAAATTTTATAACAGAAAACTTACTTATTTTAGAACTTACACATAGTAAATGTATTATTATGAACGACAATTAATAAATTAACCATGTTGCAACAACGTTTGTTAGACAGTGCAGGCAACACGTGTGAATGTGGCGTACAATTAATCTAAATTATGTTAATTTCAGGCAGATATTTTGGGCCAAACGATTCGTTCGATCCACGGCAAAAACTTGGACACTCTTGTGTAAACGCCTGGTGAATTCTTCTTGGCACACAGCTTACCGAACGACGTGATGCCTACTTGCGTGTACATGCACGAGTAATTGCTGTGGGGTATTTGAAGCGGACCACCAGAATCGCCCTGTGTGATGAAATAGGAGAGAAAATAATTAGAYGGTTGAATAATAAAATAAACAACTCTATATAGTCTATACTAACTAGGGGGTGGCCAACTTGCGGCTCATAATCATAGTCGTATGCGGCTTATTAAAAAAAACCACTATTTACTTATCATCGATAAGATACCATAAAATTATGAAAATTATAAAATTTATTTTTAACATTTTAGCTTTTAATATCATTTATTATATTTATACATGTGGTTCGTGGACGTATTCATATTTATACCATAGACCTATAAAAAAATAGACAGATTGTAGAAAGAGAAGTACTGAACCATAGAGGCGGATTTATCTTTTTTACGGCTATAGGTACCAACAATTTGTCGCCCCTTTAAGAGGTAAACAAGTTACAATACCCCCTCCAAAATACCTACTCTWAATATTAAATGTACAGACAATAGTAGTGGGCATCCATTTTAATTTTTAGACTATTTTTTTCACCTTTAGTTATTTAGCCTACTTTGAAAAAACGTACAACGATCATTTTTATTAATTATAAACCATAAATAATAAAACAAAACTATATAACCATTGTTAAGAACATTAAGTAAACACAGTAGTTTACAATATTTTGTACGATAAAAATCTTTATTTATTTGATTCAAATTAAAAGGCATATAAAACAGACATTTAACTTTGACATCTTAATATTATCTATACTACATCTAAACTTAACTTTTAGGTGACACGGACTCTGGGTGGACTATACCAACATGTAAAATATAGTATTAACAAAAACCGTTTTCTATATACAGAGGTTTATTATATTTATAATGACTATAAATTATAATGAACCTTAATAGATAAATATACCGTATACGATCTACAAAAATATAAAATATAAAAATATGCACATTATTAATAATTTTTGGTAAATAAAAAGTAATTAATCTTCCAATATTTTTTTTTACACTTTCCATGTTTTTTAATAAAACACTACAAAATTTACCGTCCTAGACAGCTGCCTACAGTTCCTAATGGGAAATCCGCCTCTGTACTGAATTCAACATCCCGGCATTGTCAGAAGGAGATAAATCATAAAAGAAGATATCACAAGAACAAATCATGGATAATCCATTGTCATGGAAATATAGTTTTCATATAAATTCATTTGTAATCATCAGTGATAAAGGCAAACTGCAAATGTCGATTTTAAGCTTATTTATAGTTAATGCATACAGCATACTGGTTAGAGCTATATATACGATGTAGAGAAGATTTTATCCACATCGTGTCTACAGAACTACTGATGGTTGTCAAACACGAAACACAGTCTGTAACTTACCCCACATGTGTCTTTTTCACCATTCTCATAGCCCGCACACATCATGCTTTCTTCGAGTATTCCGTTCGCCAACTGAGTTGTCCCGATCGACGCATAGTTGMTTTTGCACAAGTTTGCAGGAATCATGTTCAAAGTCACTTTTAACAGATCCGGACTAGCTGGACCGTCTGTAAAACGGTTTACATGTAATAACGCTTATATGACTATTCTAAAAACGTATCACGACTCAGGACCGCATTAACAATTTTAGTGACGCAGGCTACAAAACATACTACATATGTATTTTTACTATTTTTAGACATACCTATTGTTAAGTATCTATAGGTAATATGGCCGCCTACATCGTTTTGTACATTGGCAATCAAGGGGAGCTAGTGACATATTTGAGGGGGTGATCTGAATGATATATCACCCCCAGACTTGTTTTATTTCGATTTTTCATCCAATTTCAATGTGTTTTCAATTATAAATATTAAATTCATATAGGTTCACCTTACTTAACTGTAATATAGGTAAAGATCAGWGTACCCGGGGGAGACCATCTGATATGCCTATTTATTTTTTGGTTATCAACCCCCAGAAGGATATTATAAATTCGCCACTGAGCCTTTAAAATTTTTTTAAATATTTTTTAACATTTTAAATAAAATATTTATGTGATAATTTATATTGAATATTATAATTTATTACTGCAAAAAAACTTTTGTTAAATAACTCGAACAGCCCTTCTTCTCAGCCCTGCGGTCCTACTTATTAAGTACGGCCCTAGATAATAATMATTTTAAACCAACGAAAATAAACCAACTAAAGTATATCTGTCCCCAACCAGTTGCTATCRYCGTATGCGAAGGACTCGACTGCAATTTTGGATCTGCGTTAAGACAAATGGGCCGTACGTACGCAGAAAACTTTACTTCCTGATCCAAATGGAATAACGCTATATCGTTGTACAATGACGGCGGTTGATAATTTGGATGCACTATGCGTTGGTCAATTTGGTAGTCCATTTGTCTGGCGTCGTCRGTTTCCGACAAATAGTTGAGTTCTCCAAGGCGTGCCCAGCGCACGAACGTTCTTTAATAATAAATTAATAAATACTACTATAAAATAACTAATATTTTCACAACAGAACAAATTCATCAAAGCAAATATTTTTGTAGCCTATTATAAGTAGGTATAACAGAAAGACCTGACAAATGAAATAACTTTTGTTCTCATAAACAATATATTTTAATTTTTTATACATGATTGATTGACTCTTATGTTAGATGTATACTTTATCATTTTTTAAATCTATTTTTCAATACTTTTAATACTAATTTTTAAATCTAATATAAATTTCCCAATTTATAAATCTGGTTTTTAGAATAAAATTGATTGTAAAAACATTTGTCATGTAGTTTAATTATTTACAGTTTTTTAAAATGTTTTAGTAACTTAAGTTTATTCGTTTTAAATTCAAAAAATAAAAATAAATGATGGGATTTATTAAAAGCTATTTATTTWAAAAAAAAGTTTTCWAACTAATGGATTACTTTAAAATAATTTGACAATTTGAAAAATCATAAAATATTACTCACTTAGCTTTGATAAATGTTTTTAAAACTAAAATTTTTCTAAAAACCAGATTTACAAAACAGCTATTTTTTAATTGCTTGAAATAAAGATCAAAATCAGATTTAAATTTTAATTAGAAACATTTAATTGGAAGAAAAGTTATTTAATTGGTCAGGTCATTCTGTTATATCACGTATATATACTACCTATTATATATGCAGATGTGTATTATATTGTAGTACCTACGCTGATTATACCAAAAGAGTAAAGAGGTGACATACAAATTTAAAATATAAAAAACTAACTAACAGAAAACAATGTAATTTATATCAACCCTATAGCTATTACTAGTGTAGTAGTGTCTAGTACAGTGGTTTTCAGCCGGTGTGCCGCGAGCGCCCTTGAAGTGTACCACGAAAAAATAAATAAATATTATATGTATATCTAAATATATACTACCTAGGTATTATATCACATATTATATGAATTGGTGTGCCGCGAAAATTGTGTAGGAGAAGAAGTGTGCTACGTTGTTAAAAAGGTTGAAAACCATTGGTCTAGTACTTAAAAATGTGCAGAGCAACATTTCTAATATTTCATTGAAGTTAAATGTTAAATATTTTTAGTTTAGCATAATATTTCACAACTGATACGTATATAGTTAACATACCCTTGTGAAAAACAATTTTATTTTTAAACAAAAAGATAGTCATTTTGAATTATATATAATTCGACTGAAGTGTGAATTCAATATTATATATCATAATAACATACTAACTTGTCGTCAAGTTTTTCACAGTGTGCTGCGGAAAGTATCCATCTATTGCTAATCAGTGATCCCCCGCAGGCCCATGCATTATTTTTGGGATTMTTGCTATAACCCAACAAAGCCTATAAAATTATCAAATAAATGTCAAATGCATACCTATTGCCTATTGTAATTGCTGTGTTTCATAATATTGTTATTATATACATTACCATGTGTGGAAATTCTTTTGGATCAGCCCTAGAGCCGTTAACGATTAAGGTTAAGACAGTATGACAATCTTTAACTTTAATAAAATGGTCATGACCCGCCAATAATACTGGATCCTTTATATAATTGTAAATCAACTGTGAATACTCACTGCACACTTATTCGAAATAAAAACAAATAACAATTTATTTATCCTTTTTTTTTTTGGAACAGCTTTATATGTTCTATAAATTATAGTTACAAATTTACAATATTATATTAACGCTTACTTTCAGCGGCCGAATATGCTTCCGTACCTTTGGGTTGATCATCTGATGGAAAAACAATTTTATTTGTCACATTAGCTGTAAACGGACAATAAAAAATATAGGTACAAATCCAATAAGAGTCTTATTATGTATACCTATGTATAAGTAAAATTGCCRTGGCAAAACATATTTTGTTTCATGATTTTCTAGTATTATAAGTTATAAAGATTATATACGGCTGTACCTAATAGAAAAACATGTTGTCGATCGTTATGAAGAAAATARCGCAATATTTTAATCATAGACGTGATTCAAATTATTTTTAAAATGATACCATACATTAAAAAACGGTAAACTGGTAAACGGATTTGCCAGTAAATGTAAAGGTTGATTTTGGTGGAAAAGTGAATCACTGAAGAACCGAATAAGGATAGGTATTAGGTAGGTACTAGCAAATTTAAATTAAGCCCACAATTACTTTTTTTTATGTGCATCCAAACTCGACTGAATCCAAATTGGGTCCAAAACAGAAAATTGCTATATTGTGCTTTATGATATTTTACTAGTTGTATCCTTATATCCCGATTTTTTYAGGTACAGCATTATATGAGTCCTGAATTATTTTAAGTATTAGACTAGTTGGGTCCTTAATAATTTTTAGAGAGTCCTACACTAAAATTTTACAAATTATGATAAAATGAAAATATCAGTACAATATACCAAGAAAAAATATTAAACAATTAAAAATCAAAATATATAAAAACAAAAAAATCATTTTTGTTTTGGTAAAAATGTGTATGACATAAATACCTACTTGGTATTGCACCTATATTTTATTACATCATATTTGTAAAATTCTAACAATTCATATTTTTAGTACCTATCGAGAAAAAAAAATAAATCATAAAAAATATTTTTAAGCTAATCATTGATTTAAATAGACTCTGAAGTCTGTTAAAATGGGAAGGAAAATGTTAGTATTTCTAGTGTGATACTTGCCAAATATATTAGGGACCCTACTAATATGTACCAGTGTRCCTAAGGAGGTAGGAATAACAGTGCAATAATAATAAGATTAATACAATATCAATACTGATTATAATTAATATTTCATTATAATTTATCTATTATTAGGATTAATTTATAATTTCTCCGACACATTTACTTAAAAGTTAAAACTGTAAATATCTATAACCTATGGGCATATGGGCTATTTCCTATGCCCTATAACATAAAAGTGCATCAWCATTGGCATTCCATTTCAGCATAATACGTTGTACAGGACTATTTTTGCTGATTATTATCCATAGCATTTTATGGTTTATAAACAAATTGTAAGTAGTAGGTTACAGGTTATATAATTGATAAGAATATTGAGTAGGTACATAAGATTATAAGAGAATATCAATAAAAAAGTTTGATAAACCCCTTCCCCCCTCAACTATTGAGTGGTGATACGATTGTGCACGTTATGATATTATTTTTACATCAAAGCGACGTTGCCAAATATATGGGTGCACAGTAAATATCCATACAAATGATAAACTATTTTTTGTTTATTTTTTGGAGAGACGGAGACGTACATTGAACCTAGTTGGTTATAATCCAAAATCAATTTTATCTATAAGCAACACGAAGAGTAGGTAAGTATATAAAAAATAAAACACCAAAAAATGTACTTAAGTACCTATTTGCCCATAGATGGCAATAGGTATTGGCGATTTAAATTTGAAACSTTAAAAGTTTAAGACACCAGAAATAATTTGAGAAAAGTGCTTTTTCTTAATGTTATGTGAGATTTTTTTTATAAAACATTTTTAGTAAAAAAAAAGTATGTCCAAAATTAAGAGGGTTATTTCAAATTGCAGTTACTATTCCTATAAGTTCTTCAACACGTGAACATAGTTTTTCAAGTATGAAATGAATTAAAAATTAGTTGAAGACAAGTACGTTTAATGGCACAACCAGTGATTGTGGGGGGAGGGGAGTGTCCCCACCCTCAAAAATAGATCCTAGTACCTAGTTGCACCACTGAGTACGTTATAGCAGTACTGGTTTAATGACTTATCTATTTTAAATGTAAAAAGGGATAATTCGAATAACATAAAAACATAATTAGTGTTGTGTTACCTATACCATAAAAACAGAGAAAATATGTTTAAAAAAATAAAATAATTATATTGTTATTACCAATCCAAAATCAATTTAAATACAGTGAAAAGCTTGCTGACGGATTCCTCTTATGTTTTTTTTTAAGATTCAACTACAAACTTTTTAAAAACTGAGCCCACTGTAAAACGGACAAGGTTCAGCAACMTAATTACTAGTATTTAGAAGCTTCACTAAAATAAGTTATTATTATATTGTGTTTGTTATATAGGTTGTAACTTGTAAATTACTATATTGTAATAATAAGACAATTAAGTAGGTATTTACTTTGTAAGTGTAGGTAATGTAAGGAGTTAATAATAAGTAATAATATTGAATTTAAAACAAAAATTTTTACTACTGATTTTGAAATTCATGTTTTGGAAGTGTGAGTCTATAGTGAGATAACTGATAAATATAGTATGTATAGCCGTAGTACAATCTTAGTACCCCCTAAAATGTAACTATAGTGTCCCATCATGGCGGATGGAACTTTAAAAAGGAATAACGCTAATAAATCGGGATATTAAAATTAAGTGCTGTTGGCAAGGTTAAGGAATAATGATGAACTGCCTGTGCTCACCAATCAGCCAAGGAGTGTCTACCTAAATATAGTTTGAGTTAACTAAATTTATAGTGAGTAGTGACATTATCATTATTTATATTGTTATTTTGCATTAAAAGTAAAACATAGAGGTAAGTTCAAGATTATAGGTAAAATTTTGTCGTAAGAACGATATCACCTTGCTGGATGATAACAAAATATGCAAATGATATGTCGATGAATTTCATCAAGATTCTTGTAAAATAATTCGCAAAATTTAATATCAAAATAAAAACATAAGCTTACCTTTATTTTGTGGTGCACAACGTCCTAAATGCACTATACTTATTACAATAAACAGCAAAAATATAAATTGTAAGCTTGTAAGATTCTTCATTTCGCACAAAACTATTAGAACTATTATGTTAGTAGGTATCTACTAAAATACAATGATAATAGTTATTTCCTGAAGAGTATCATATAATGCCAACGTTTAAGGAACACTGGCAGTAGCTAGTGTAGCACTGTTCAGTGAACATCAAGATTTGTTGTTTTGTACTAGGTAGTGACAATTATAACAAATTAACATAATCAGAAATTCTAAATTCATATTTATGTATATAATATTATTATTAGATGTAGACTATCTAATWTAAAATCGCAGCTCCCACTTCCATTACACGTGACCTTCTCTGCAGTCTTATACTTTATACATATAGGTAGGTAGGTAGTTAAATATATTGTGTAGACAATTCGATTAAATGTTGAGGATTGAGTGGGAGTATAAAATCATTAAAATCCTTGCTCTTTGCTGATCATCTCTTATTATTGTTTATTATCAAAAGGACGCTACAYGGTCATTTGTTGTCTCCGTCTTGCAAGTGCGTAATATAGCAAATCTACACTAAGCAGATCGCGTATAGATTTGTAATTCGTTGGTTTAAAATTAGAGTGCATAGATAATATACAACAAGACTTTATGGTAAGAAACTAAGAACTAAATCTATATGTTTGTATAATAGGTTTTTTACCATAATATTTATATTTATGCTATAATGGTATAATAATACGATTAATACCCACGACGATGAGAGAGGAAAATATGCTCAGGGTCTTTGAGAACTTACTTATAGGTACGCACAAAAATAAATATGTTCCAGTTGTAATAAAAAAAAAATGTTTAAATAATGTTTTATTTAGTGAACTAAGGCAGTGTTTATTATAAGAGAAATTTATACATTTAGTATCTCTATTTTTATTTTACAGTGTTTGTTAAATTAAGAAATTAATTAAATCACATATACCTATGTACTAGCTGTTACTCCCAACAGCACCACAAACTTAGCTTAAAGGTGTAGGTAATTTTTATTATTTCTTTAAATATTTTGTTTTTATTGTGTTTTTCAAATAATAAAACATTTATAAATTCGATTCCGGTCGGGTGGTGCTGCTGATATTAACCAATATGTTGGTATTGGTATCAATACCACCAATATGTATTTAGTAGGTATTCGCCAAGATATATTATCTCCCTATGAAGCCCCCCACGGGTCACATAAAGCATTTTAGCACTCCCTAGTTTAAGACGCCTATATGGCTGACACGTTAAGTGAAGTTCATTAGTGCGAATGGTATCARAAGTGTTATCTACCGTAATAAATTCAAACTTTTCAAAAAGGGCACAATAAAATCAGCTACTCGTTATTACCCCTCTGAATAATAACTCTGTCAAAATCAATTAAAAAAAAAAAAAATGAAGAGGAAGCCGTTCTTTTGCTGTGTAGTTGGTCATGGATTAAATGTTTAATATTTGTAAATTTAAAAACCAAATCTTCGCTCAAAGTTTTTTCCCAATGGTCGTCATTTTCCAATAAACCTCTATCCTATGAGTTGAGAACTCAAGACTACCATATTATGTGATGAAACAATATTCTAAAATGGAAACATTCCGATTTCCTTCTGAGAAGAATCACTTTATGACTTACCTACTGTTCATGGCACATATTTTTAATTGTGCACAATTGAACGCAGTTTTTAAATCGTTGGATTGGGCTTCTCTATTTAATTTTTCCCAATTCGAGCACTAGGTCCTTTGTACTCATCAATTTATATAGAACACTATATAATCTCATTAATGTTGTGCGAGTATTGTGCTGGTTACATGGGGTAGACCAGCGTTGATAATTATTTTAAAATTGTCTGATGAGTTCTGATAATATGTTCTAAGCTGAATTTTAAATCTCTAATGTATAGGTTCTATATACCTGTAGGTTATAATAATTTATTTAATGCAGTTCGCAATTTTTTTTTTTTAATAAGAGAAATATTTTATCGCAATTATATAATTATCCTCCATTGTAGACGAAGACAATTTACAAAATTGTGGCGGGTTTTGGTCTGATGGCAGTAGCGAAGGTTGCTAATGCGATGGTAAATCTGCTACATAATCTAAAATGTAATTTTTTTTAGAAAATATGCAGATTATAGATAATTGCCTGGATTTTTTATCGGTTGTAGTGACTTCTGAATATCGAGAATTCTCCCAGTAGCCAGAATACATTGGAAATTTGATTCAAACGCCGTCCGACGGTTGCAGCCTCTGTAGCCTGTGCTGCACCTGACATTTCAATGACAACCATCACCACTTATTTTTTTATCGGTTGTCAATAGGTACACTATACAATAATTTTTAACTTAAAATTATAACAATTATTTGTTTACATAAACTATTTGTGATAACTAAAATAAATAAAATGTCACGTCATATTATATATTATATATATTTTTATTTTTAATAAAAAAAATATATTTCAAATAATTTCACAAAACCCTAGATAAACCTAACCTGATTAGGAACCTCTGGTATAAACTATAATGTATTAATGTATAATAAGTAGCAAGTAAATTAAATGTGCTACACTTGAAATAAAATCCTGGGACCACCTATGACTGATCACTCGATTTTTGCGTAAAACATGTCAAATTCACTATTCCAATTTTGATTGCGCTTTGCTGAGCATAAAATCAATATTTTGAATTTTAGATCGTTACTGAAAAGCCGAAATTCGATTATGCACTCTCGGTATGGATGGTGTCCAAATTTATTTGTCACTACAACGCAAACAGGTATAAACGTTCAAAGATAGTTTCTATATTATGAATTTATGATACGTATTCTGTCAGACATATAAGACGATTTATACTTACCAATTTCGGTAAAATGATATTGGGCCATCAATTATGGTTTATGTTATTTCTACAAATACATATCTGTATTTATTTATTGTATCAACAGCCGTTAGCAACATTATATACCAATGTTTAAATTACTTTGCTACTCAGGGATAGACGGATAGTGTTTCTTAATTTCAGTCAAATAATTTTTAGAATTTCAGTAGTTATAGACATACCATTTTTCTATTTATAATGTTATTTAATTCTTACAGAATAGATTATATACCTCGATACATGTATGATGCAAATATACTTTATAGTTTATATAGCCTTCAATTTTTTTTAACTATCACCAAAACAATAGGTATTATCATATCATGAATCTTCTGATGTTATCAAGTAACACTATATAACTGTATAACTATAACTAAATTTTCAATCTTAATAAATTCATGAATCAATCAATAAGGTTTATAATAAACAATACAATATTAAATATTACTATTGCCTATATTATGATGAAAGGCTATAATATAAATTTATTTTTTATTCATTATATATAGGTATTTATAATTTTTTAAATATTTATATTATATAATAAATATATATGAATCAAAAATATATGATTAAGACACATAATTTAATATTATGAGTTTGATATAATTCCACAAATCACAAATAAAAAAAAGAAAATAGAATAAAATCATATTTGATCTTACAAAATAAAACATTCAATAACTAATGATTTTATATAATATATATCGTTTACAATTATTCTTAAAAATATTATGGGAAGTTTAGTATAATGTATATATATATATATATGTTTTTTCAACTTTTTTTCATATTTATTTTAATTCAATTACACTGCATGGTGGGATTATAATTTAATTTTGAAGAAATATAATATATTTTATTTTTAATACCCTCTATAATTCATCAGTTAATAAATTTTGTAATAAGTTAAGTACTAAGGTGAGCACAGGTGAGTGAGCGATCGGATGTTGCTTATATTCTAAATACAATTTAACTAAAAGAAGTTACAAAATTAAATAGTCAAAAGCATAATTAAAACAATAAAATATTAGTAATAACTAATAAATATTAAGAGCAATAATTATATTTTTCTCTATATAACTAAGACACTAAATCATGGCCCTAGATTTGATTGCTAAAATCATGTAACCTAAATTCATTAATATATTCATCCAAACAAAAATACAAATTTTTAAAAACCAAATCAGGTAAATAAACGTATCTGTTTATATCTTTTATCTAAAATTAATTCCAGCATTTTTATTTAAAGTTGCACACAATACTTATTTATGTTTAAGATAAATTGACAAAATTCTAAATGCAAAATATATATATATATTTATATATATATACTAAAATAATGCAATAATTATTTACTTTAATATAATGCACTAGTAATAAAAAAATCAATAGAATAGATTAAGAGTGAATGTTTTTTTTGACAAAATTAACTACGGTGATGACAACACAGAAAATATATTATACAATTTGCTACGTTTGTGTTGCCATCAATCGAGTAAATAGCCTAGAGATCTCATTATATTGTTTATGTAAGTAGTCCTGAATAGGGGAGGAATGAAAGGCAAACAAAAACTGTTCTTTGCAAATTAAATTACCTAAGTAAGTCTTTGTTTAAAAAAAAAATTTAATTTAAGCCTTAAACATAAGCTAATTCTATGATGTTAGTAATACTTGAACGTGTTGAGTACATAAAAAAACAGTCTTATTATAATATTCAGCTTATGCTTATACAGTGTAACGGACTTAATGCACACACAGTTAAATAAAAAATAATAAATGAAAATCAACATAATAATAATAATTAAAAGTAAAAGAAAAAAATGTAAGAAAGTCAAATGTGAGTAAACGAAATATTAATGATAATAAAAATATAATTCACAAAAAATTAGCTAGGTGAACAAAAAAAAATTAAAAAATTAAAAAATTAACTAACACATTTGAAAAATTTGTTATTTTATAGGTTTAGGTCAACACAGTACGAGTATAGAAAATCATGTAAGTTTTCATTTTGTTTTAACTGAGTATAATAGTTTAAATATAGTAAAATAAGAAAAATAAAAATCTAAAATCGCTATATGTTATCGTTGTTTAGGGCGAAACGCAGMCCTCGGAAAATACAACTACTTCAGAACACCAATGTCATGTAGTGGGCAGCATATTTGTTATCATTGTCCATAGTTCTTTTTTACATGATTTAGATCTAAAAAACAAATACACAATCATTAATTAAATGAAGAATAATGTTTAAATACTAAATTAATATAAATATTGC